GGATACAAAGACGTAAGTGAAATAATAGTCTCTGCCCTCAAGAAGCTACCATTCTGGATAGGGTAGAAGACATTTCATCTGTATTTGCAAAATAGATATAAGGTAAATTAAACATATAAGTACATATATCTACACCCATACACAGGAGTTTCACAGTGGTAAACCATTTAAATAGATGATGGAAAATATATAATTTTAATAGTAGGAGGCTGGCAGTGTTCTGGAAACAGTTGAAAAGTTGGAATTAAGAGGTCTTGGGTTAAATCCTAGCTCTTCCCCCTCACCCCTGATGACTTTGTGATCTTCAAGTCTTTTAACCTCTCTGAAGCTCAATTTGCTCACTGTAAAGTAAGGATAATATATGTTATACCTATATCATACCATTATTGTAAGAGTCAAGTAAATGATGGAATGAATTGACTTTAAATGACAAGTCACTGTATAAATGTGAGATATTAATTCTTCACTTATTGATAATAGGTGTGTACTGTTTCATGAGTTATGATTCCAAAACGATAAAAATTAACATGGGGAAACAAAACTAATAATTTGCAATTCTTCCTACCTTGAGGAATTTTTGTTGTTGTTTAAATAATGCTGGATTTAAAATTGTATTATGTAGTCTTTGTACTTAATATTATTTATTTAATTTGGTTTCCCAAGTAGTAATTTTTATCAAATATGTAAATGGGGGGCCATTTTTACCTAATTAAATTTGTGATAGGGTTACATAAGATTAGATTTATTGATGAGGGTAAGTAAAGAACATGCTTCAGACCTGGAATATATGGAATTCTTCAAAACATTCACCAAGCTGATTGGCTGTCAGAGGAGGCAGTAGTTTCCTCCTCATTAGAAGTCTTCATGCAGGTGCTGGACAACCTCTTGTTGAAGATATTGTAGTAGAGATCATTGGACAACAACGTGGTGGACTAGATGGCCTCAAAAGTGCCTTCAGCTCCTTCTTGTTCAAAACTTTTATTAATAACTTGAATGAATATACAGAAGAAAATTCCAGATGATAAAAAAAGCTAATTGGCTTGCATAATCAAGATTCAAAAAGATATCCTAAGACAAGGGTTATGGGCCTAGTCTAACAAATTGAAACCTAAAAGGGATAAATTTACTACAGGTACTGATTTAGCAAATCAACTAAATAATCACAGGATAAGGAGTAATATATATATATATATATATATAAAACCAGAATATAATTCAGTTATGGGTTTTAGTGGTCTTAAGATGAATTCACCTCAGTTTCCCCAACTGTAAAATGGAGATAATGTTGCCACCTCTCTCCCAAGGTTGTTAAGAGAATCAAATGAGATGATATTTGTAAAGTACATAGCATGTTGTAGACACTATATAAATGCTAGTTATTATTAGTGGCAATAACAATTACCAAAAAACTACTCTAAAATTAGGCTGTATTAATAATCCTAGAGTCCAGAAAAGTAGGTAACAGTCCTTCTGTATTGTGCACTACCATATGAAGTAACATGTTCATTACTGGATGTCACATTTTAAGAGGGACATTTTCACAAACTGTAGAGTATCATTTTGTTGGGTTTTTTAAGTATTTATTAAGCATCTACTGTGAGCTAGCCACTGTGCTAGGTGCTGAGAATAAAAAGGCAAAATCAAAACAATCCCTCCACTCTTAGAGCTTATATTCAATGAGAGGGTGTGCATAATATATGCAAAAATTAAATGTAAAATACATACAAAGTAATTTATGAGGGGACGACACTAGAAATTGGAAAAATGTGATCAGGAAAAGCTGCTTATATAAGAGAATACTTAGTCCTAGTTTTGAAGATAGTTGGGCATTATAGGGATGGGGCAAAATTTGCACAGAGACAAAGAGGCAGGTGATAGAGTATGCAATAAATCCAAAAACATTATCTGGAGATTGTTAAGGTTAAAAGCCAAATGATTTGTAGTTTATCTTAGAAGGAGCCATTTAAGCAGCTAAGCTCAAACTAAGGGGTTGAAGGACGGACAAAACATAGTGAAATGATCAGATTTGTGTGTCCTTGTGTTATCAGTACAGCAGCTGTGTGGACTATGGATGGGGAGGAAAGAGACTGGATGCTGGGCAACTAATTAGAATGCTTTTGCAATAAGCCAAGTGAGAGATGATAAAGGCCTGAACAAAGGCAATGACTGTATGAGTAGAGAAGAGGAAATGATACAAGTGTGTAGCATCAAATCCAAAAGAAGATGACTTAAGATGATGTAGGGCCTGAAAAAAAATTATATGAGAGACATTTGTAGGAACTGGAAATGTATAACCTTGAACTTAAGGAAACAGCTACCTTCCCCCATTTGAAGGATCATCATATGGAAGAGAAATGAGACTTATTTTGTATAATGTAATGGGAAACAACTGCAGTATGTAGGCAGAAGATACAGAGAAGCAGATGAGGAGATAAGAGAAAGAATTTTCAAACAAAGTTATACCCTAAAGGAATGGGCTCATTCCATCATTATTATGCTCCCCAATCCTGGTATGTACAAAATCTGGAAGAACTAAGTGTGAGATGCTAGAAAAGGGATTTCTGTGTGCGTTGTAGGAGGTTGGCTTAGATCACCTTTGAAATCTCTTGCATATGTAAGGTTATATAATTCTTTTGCTCTTCAACAAAGAGAGAAACCTGTAAATTTGTGCCATAAGGGAATTGTACTCATATCAAGCCTAATTCTTAGACTTACAGTTTGGGGAGAAAGCTCATTCAAATCATATAAAAAAACCTTAATCTCACCCTATTATCGGAATTGAGTGCTTTCCAGCCCATTTATGTTCTATATACCCTGTATAAGAGCACAAATAGCTGGCATCATAAACAATTGCAAATCCTGTTACTGAATAGTAGAGCCAGAGACAGGGTTAAGACAGTTTGGCAAGTGTTATAGCATGATACTTGAGAATACATAACCACTGTGGTGGTGTCCATGCTCTTAAGAGTTTTCTAAGCATCTGTGAATTGTGTGTTGAAATGTATTGATGCTGAAGACCTTACAATGCCAGATACAGGAAAGTGATCTTGTTTTTTCCTTTAACCTAGTAAAGCATAGATTAAATATTTTTTGGCTAAGAGAAAATTCCTTTCCTCTGTAGAAAGCATGTACTATTACATGTTTGATTTTTGTTTTTTGTTTGCTTTGCTGTTACCACTTACTAGATAAAGTGTTCTTTGGTCACAGCAATTTGTTTCAATCAGTTGCCCCCTGCTGGGATAGTCTTATTTTTCCATCTTACTTTTCAATCCTTAACTGCACTGCTCTTGGAAAAGTCGTGACGCATTCAAGTACTTGCTACAAAGCAACACAGAATTTTGGTCACACTACTTGAATGTTACCATAGCTTTGATGCAGATCATGGATTATTTGGATAAATCCTAAAGATTTTAGTTCAAGTATATGAGAAGAGATTATGCAAAAAAAAAAAAATCTAAGCACCAAATCAGTAACATGTTATTGGCAATGCTGATGATTGTCTCTGGTTAATTTAAGTCTAACTCAAAACAAATAAGAAGTATTAGAAAAGACTATAATTTAGAGGAAAATGTAATGTTGCTTAAGCAAGATTTTCCACTATGTAAGTGTATGTACTACAGTGTGTACTCTCCCTGGGAGGAAGACACTTTTGGAAGTTGCATTAACTCTATCATGCCACTGGGGGACCATTTAGTAAATAACTACTTCAACATTCTAAGTGGTATCACAGTGAAATCTGCAGTCAGCCAGCAAATGTATATCACATGCTAATGTAGCATCTTGGAAGTACCTTTAAGTCTGGCTGGTTACTTGGGTACCATTTTGGTAGGCCAAAGCGTAATTTTCTCAGTAATACCCCAATGGCCTGTCAGTCCACAAATAGTTTTCAAAATTGCCTTGTTGGCCTTTCTTCCAAAAGAGTAAGTGGGGGAGGAAGGGGATCATTATTCTAAAAGTATATTTTACATGTATATAATAGCTAAATAAATAGTATATAATAGGTAAAGGTAACCAACTGGTGTCCTTGTGTTGCATTAAATTCATACCCTTTTTATATAAAATGTTGATTTTCACAGTCATTTCAAAACCCTATCCATTTATTCTGTGTAAAAGATAATACTTTCATATTTTAAATTGTTATTAGCTATACAGTGATACATGTGGTTCTAGAACAAAAAAAAATCCCTGTACATCCATGCTAAAAATTATTAATTATTGCTGCAAACTACTTGAGAACAAGAAGAGAGAATATATTTTTTTCATTTCTTAAAAATCTCCCATGGTGACTTTTTCAATGTTTTCTCTCATACTGTGCACCAAATACATTTTATTGACAAGTTCTTAAGAGTAGGGACTTTGTTTTGTGCTTATTATATATCTCTAGAGTAGTCATTGAAGTAATCTGTAATTGATCGATCATTGGTAGCAAATCCTAATGGATAAAACTCTGGCTTAAGTTTTCCATGGATTGATATGTAGAATAAATCTCCCTGAGTGCTCTAATTAATCCATATTTGTAATAAGATATTAGTATATGTACTAGTTAATACATGAGGGCATTATAAAAGGCAAATATATATATATATATAAGCATTTAAGATTCTCTAGAATAAAAGAAATAAATCTATCTAAATATCATTTCTTTTAAAAAAACTTATTGCATGACTGGTGGTTTAGAATTAAAATATTATATCATCTTTGTTTATATGAATTTTAGGTGAACCAGGAAATCTTTTGGTTTCAAATTCTCATAATTTTAGGCTTATGGTATTATGGATTTGGAACAAAAAGGAATCAAAGAAATCATATGTATTTCTTAATATTGAAGAGCTTAATAATTAACTAAAATTGTAAATGAATCTTTAACCATAATAAGGCTAATACGTGAAATTGTTAGTGTACCATAGCACATGCAACTACACCACAAAATAGCCCTGACAGAGCAAATACTTTCCAGAAAATTTTAGTAACCATGATTTCTTTAATATGTTTTGTTCCAGGTAGCAGTTTTACAACATCATCAGGACTATACACAGGAAATAATTCACTCACAAATTCTTCTGGATTTAATAGCTCACAGCAGGTAAATTTGTAAAGTAAAAATGAGAAAGATTTTGGAATATATGAAATATGTAACAGATGCTCCTCTTTTTTTCTGAAGTGAACTCTCTGATTTTAGATTCCCCCCCCCAATTTCTTTAAATTTGTATTTTTTTCTTTAAAATATCCATTAATGAAACTGTGTACTTTTTTTAGTGACTGGTTTAATTTTTGCTAGTAACATGCATCTTGTTGGATGGGAAAGTGTCAAAAAACATTCCCAGTCTTACATAAGATTTATGTTTGCAAGTGTAAACAGATCAACCTGTGTTTATTTTGTTTGCCCTACTGTGTGAAGTACAGAGAGAACACTGAAATACAAACATGTGTTTGCTGTTATGATTTGGAAGGCTTAATGCAATATTTTGACAGAATCCTCTCATGTTGCTTTTTGGTTTGGTAGGAATATGCATCTTATACCAGCTTTGGCCAGGGTCAGTATGCACAGTATTATAATAGCTCACCGTACCCATCCCATTACATGACAAGCACCAACACCAGTCCAACAACGCCTTCTACAAATGCAACATACCAGCTTCAAGAACCACCATCTGGCATCACCAGTCAAGCAGTTACAGATCCCACTGCAGGTAATTACAGGAATTTTATTAGTCCTACAGGTCATATTTTTGCTGGTTCATGTGTATTTCAATGGTTAGTGCAGTTTTGGCAAGACATAGGATTAGAGTTGGTTAACAAGAAGTTGTGTTGTGCTGTTTAATAGATTTCATTCTTCTATTTTTTATTTAAAATAATGTTACAGTTTAAAATATAGGAAATACTCATTTGTAATGATTATAATATTGGTTTTTTTATCAATAATTGTGAATTTTTTAAAAGATATAATACCCATAACTAGAGATGATATGAAATAGCATAATAGAATTGCTTAGGAATAGGAAAATATATTAGTGACATACATGGATAAAATTCTATACATTGCATCCTACATACAATGCATAGAATTTTTAATTCTATTCATTGCATCCTATATACAATGTATACAATTCTATGTATAAATGTTCTATACGTAACATTTAGAATTCTATATATTATATTCTATATGTGTGTGTTAGTATTCTGCAATTGTCTTTTGTTTCAGGACATGTAAAAAATTTAGAGGGCATCTGCCATAGAAAAGTTCAGTTTTAGAGTCCATATTGTAGATGGGACTCATTATTTCAGTAGGGCTTGGTTTAAACATCATATATTTGGAGCTGGAAAGGACTTAGAGATAATCCAATCCAACCTTTTTTATTTTATAGATGAAGAAAATAAGTCCAAAAATCACACTGATAATAAATAACAGGCCCAAGATTTGAACCCACCTCCTCTAACTCTTAACCTTGTGTTCTTTCCACTGTACCAGATTTAGTGACCTCTGAGGTCCCTTCCAGTTCCAAGTCTGTGATCTACTGCTAGTATTGCAATCAATCAAATACGTTCATTGGTCAGTAGACAAAGTCACTGTTGTAGTAATGTTGCCCAATAGAATGCATTTTCCTATGTTAGAAAAATGGAACACCAAATTTAAAGGCACAAGAATATCTATTGTTTTTCACTTTTTTGTGAAAGTTCTTGCCCAATAAGAGTGAATGGTCCTTAAAATAAGAAAAAAGAGACAGCTTCTGTATATATTACCGTGGTACATGATGTGATGTCTGCATGTCTAAAAATCAAACTGTAGTTTAGTTATGTTATCATTACAAACCTTTGAAGTTGCCAATGGTTTTAAGAACAAATTGGAAATTTGTTCTTAGAAACAGAAACAACACTCTGATCTCTGCTAAACTGAGAGGCAGTGTGGTTTAGTGGATAAAGCATTGTTATGGAAGCCAGGAAGACCCTGAGTTCAAGTCCTACTTCTGACACAAACTGATGCAATGAGTCTTGGTAAGTGACTTAATGACTCAGTGCTCTAAACACATTTCTAAGGTTATGAGGTGCAAAGAAGGTGCTGCCCATCACTGGTAGAGAGAATTTCCTTACCTAGAAATTCTCTATACCAGTGAAATTCCAGGTCCAATCTTTTGTGGGGATTGAGAAGACTTGGTGGAATGAGTGGAATCCATTCATTGGATTAGAGGTTACTGTTAAAAGCATGTGATACCGTAAAGTGATAAAAGCAACATGAAAGTAATGATTTCCCTTCATTTGGATGGCGCAGAAGGAAGAGGGTGTGAGAAGAATGCAAAGCAAATTGCTATCATTTTATCGTTTTATCAAGGACAGTAGTTGAAGCAGGATGTCAAAAAATTCAATGAGGTTCTGTCCTCTTAACTCTGGCCAATTTTTTTTCATAAGTACTATTATATGGAAATGAAGTGACACAGTATGGGTGCCTCAGCACAAAGTCATCATCACTACTCACAAACAACTCAAAATGTAGTGGTTTTCTGTCTTGTGGAAGTAGCATCATGTCCATATCCATAATGTCAAGATCATCATCTAGATTTTTTAAGACCCTGTTTTATCTTCTAAATCAGCCTCAATACAAGTTTTATTTACAAATAAACTAGCCTAATATTTATTTTAATATGTACCAGATATTGTAGGATAGATTCCATTCTCTCAGAACTTCTATGCGCATAGACACACTTACACACATGCACTCACAGAAACACAATGTTATGCTGGTCAAGATGGAAATATTTAGAAACCTCTTTCTCTTTATACAAGCTTTTCTATTAATAGTTAGTCATAGGGATTTCAGTGAGCTTACAAATTGAAAAGCAGATTATTTTCAAAGTTAAAGGAAAATTTGGTTGAGGTTTATTTTATGTTGGTGTTGTTTTCTAAGGAAAGAAATCCCCTTTAATTTGGCAACCATTGAGTTGTCTATTCCTAGTTATACATAAAATTAAAGACCAGGTGCACTTGATGAAAGAGGAGTTTACTGATCTTTTGGGAGGCATACTTTAGGGGCTCATTTAACTAAGATTCTGGGAAATGATCCATTAAATATGTAAGCTCCATGATGGTAGGAGCAATGTTTTATTTAAACCTCATCTGCCAGAGAACCTTGTATAGTTTTCTGTATAAAACAGGTGCTGACTAGATTTTAGTTGAAATGAAACTAATGTTTTATCACTGATTCTAAGAAAGCAGTGTGCTTCTGCTTTTATTATCTATGAGAAGTTTTTTCCATAAAGATCCAGGAAATTACTTTCTCAGACAGTAGTACCAAGATAATAATTTAGCTTTTTTGAATCATTTTAGATCTTTCTTTGAATCTCAAGAAGTATTTGGATTTAGAGTGCTGCTCAGTCCTGTGAACCTGGATTCTAGTTATATTTTTATCCTAAATCTTCAGAGAATTAATTTATTCTTTCTGCTTATTATGTCTCTAACTGACTCTTGAAATGAGGATTTCAACCTTTACCTATCTTACCAACATCTTTTAAAAACTAAGGAACTTGCAAGGATATTTTGATGATTTTTTTCCAACAACAGTTAATAGAAATATAGTTTTAAAAATCTGTTACCTCTATAAAATTTTCAGTTATGTTTTAATATACATATGTGTGTATGCATGTATGTACATATGTGTATGTGTGTGTGTGTAGTAGTAGTAGTAGTAGTAGCTCATTCACTCTAAGTATGGATCTTGGGTAGTATGTGCTCATAGTTAAATGCTGAAATCTGTGTTTTTTGGATGTGCATATGTAATCCATTAAGAGGAACATAAGTAGAATATATAGGTCTAGACCAAAATACATCATTGATCTCTTTCAAGAATACAGTATTCTTATGACAATTTATTTAATATTTTTTCAGTGATGTATTAAATATCATAACAAAAAAATCACATCACTTAGAAATACACACGAAACCATAGACAGTCTTAACCTTCCACCAGAATTTTAGTGAATCTTGTCATTTAAAAGGACTTTATACAAAGCTACTTCTTTGTTTAGTTCCTTATCTGATTCTCCTCTGATATTAAACAACCACCACCAAAAGAAATCCTGGGTGGTCTTTAAAAGGATTTTCCCCTCAGTTCTAAATTAATCCAATGAATTGAGTGTATGGCTGAAGCCTCATTTTGTAAACTAATTAGCTTTTTTAACCAATTTTTTAAAAAGTTATTCTGCTGTTACTTTTTAGATCTTTCATTTTAAAACTCAGTCCTAAGCCACTTTACTTGAAAAATGTAATTTAATGATGTGTAATTATTATCATTAATTACATAGCATCACAGAGTTGAAAAGGTATTTCATTGATAATCTGGTCTAATTCATTCCTTTTCCAAGTGGGGAAACTGAGATCTAGAGAAATGAAATGGCAGTCACTAGCTATCATAGTCTTCTTCTTAAGTATTATTAAAGAAAAGATTTGATGCTTTTAAGTATGATGAAAAGAAAAAGCACAAAGTGGAAATTACATTATATAGCCAAGGAAGACAACAGAGAACATTGGGAAGATGACTGGCTCCTCAGTCAGAAGATCTGGGTTCAGATCTACAGTATATCATTTAATCACCCTGAAGGTCAATGGGTTGAACTAGATGGTTTTTGTCTGTTTTGGGGGGTGTGTGGGTGTGAGTGAGGCAATTGGGGTTAAGTGACTTACCCAGAGTCACACAGCTAGTAAGTGTTATGTGTCTGAGGTCAGATTTGAACTCAGGTCCTCCTGACTCCAGAGCTGGTGCTCTATCCACTGGGCCACCTAGCTGCACCAAGCACTAGATGGTTTTTAAGGTCCCTTCCAGCTTTAAATCTGTAATGCTATGAATTTCAGCCTTCTCAGATGGTAGTGAAACTCACAACCATAAACAATCATTGAAAGATTATATTTTGATGGGCTTGTGATTTCATTGATATATGGAATTCCCAGGGAGGAAACGCCTAGTACCAGTGGAAATCAGTATCTATTCTGCACCTACTATTCATAGACACTTACCTGGTGGGCACAGAGAAGTTAAATGACTGGCCCAGAGTCACACAGCCAGCAACAGGACTCAAATAGAGAGACCTTGAGGTCAGCCTTCTATCTCCTACATCACTCTGCCTCTATTGAAAGAATGTTGGTATTGAAAAGATGGACATTTGTTTCAGAGAGAAGCTTCAAGTCATTTAAAATACTTTTGCAATTATCTGAAGGCAATATTCTTTGGAGTATTGAATCTAGGGAAATATTCATAAAGCATATTCTTTTTTCCTCTCCTTCCAACCTTTCTGCCCCCTCCCTTCTCTTCCATTCCCTTCTTCCCTCCTCATCACTTCATCCTCCCCCCTCCCTCAAATGACATATATCAGAGAGCACCAGCTTTAAAAGAATTACCCCTCTTAAGTGTTTTAATGCAGGTATTTCCCTCATTTCAAATGTCCTCCTGAAATGCTTAATTCTTCTTTACAAGAGAAATGGTATTCTTTTATCACTTCAAAATATGTAGAGATGAAAAATAAGAAAAATGGATTTTAAGATGTTTTCCTTTTGTGATGAGATTTGAACCAGTACATTAGAACATCATTCCTTAACCACTGAAGTATAAACAGCATGTTGTTACCTTGCACTGAACCCTTAAAGCTTAAGGCATATCATTACCAAAGTAACCTAATATTTTTCAGAGAATCAAAATATTTTAACC